CAGCAACCTGTGGCCTGTGGTCTGGGAGATTGCTCATCTGTGCAATCTGTTTCATGTTTTCCTAATAGCACACTGATCATCTCTGGATGCTTCAGCCTATTCTGACTCTGTACAGAGGGCTAGTCTCCTTCACTGCAGCTTCTGCTCAACATCATACTCAATTAACCACTCCAAATCATTGCTCACATGGGTTTTGGTGGCACATTTTTTGTTGATGCTGCATTAGGGACATGAAAGAGCAACTCTCCACAGAGCAAGGACCACACGAGCAGCCGGGGGGAACTGGTGACCTGTGGTGTTGGCCAGGTCACACACACCTTACACGACAAACTAACATTTTCCATCCTAAATTATCCTTTTCAAGTCTTTGCATAAAATAAATCTGGGACTCTGGATTAGATTTGTTAACTAGTTCTTCCAGAAGTCTGTTACTATTCTGACCTGATAAATGAAAGTTCTGGGCAGATTTTGCTCTAGACTGGGGGGGCATTAGACAAAGTGTAGGAAAATGCCTTATTAAGGAGCCATTTTGACTATCAGTGACATGTTGGTTTCCCATTTGGAAAGGTGGTGTTGTGTGGTAGATTACAGAAAGACAATAAAAGTACCTTAAGTACGGAACTCTTCCTCTACAAATGATCCTTGGGGTGGAGTGAAAAACTGTCTCAATTAATGCATTTCTTGTTCAAAGATTTTGATATAAGCAGGTTGGAAAGACACTTAGCTGGAATGGTTTAGTCAGGGATTATCCTACTTGGAGCAGGGGCTGGATTATATGATCTTGTGAAGTCCCTTTCAGTTCTACTTTCCTATGATCCTAAGACAAGCACACCTTATATGACAGAGGTAGACACAGTGGGAGCATCTACATGTGCAATTAGCATGGCAGAATAAACTCCAGAGCAGTTTATGTCACAGTTTATTGCTCACGAGTACAGTGTTTACACGTGAGCCTGGAACCACAGCGTGTTGAGCCATAGCGGCACAGCCCTGGCTAGCAGGGAGCTCAGGGGGGGTCAGCCTGCCAGCCTGGCACTGCTCCACCCATGCCCAATGTGCTATGAAGGGTTTGGCTGGGGCACAAGGGTGCTATAGTGCATGGCTACCCATAACTGGCAGGCATCTCCTTCACTGTAGCACCCTCATGCCCCAGCCAGCCCCTGTCACTATCTACATGTGTGTTACAATGCAATAAATGCAATAAATAACTCCACCATAGGATAGTACTTGTGTCAGGCAATATTATCCTATGGTGGAGTTAATTAGTTTACTCCAGCCTAATAGCACCACATGTGTAGATGGTGAATCTTTACTGAGGAGCTAATTAGTAAAGTGCATGTATAGATGCTTCCAGTATCTCCGAAAGGGGGTGTTTAATGTGGATGTTTAATAGTATTTTTCAGAAGGCACATGCCAGGACCCTGATGACTCAACTATCATAAAAAAAATGTGGCATGTCTAGGGAGCTACTTAAAATTGCGCTTTTCAATTTTTGCAGAAACCACGAAAACCAGTGGTTTCTGCAATTGCCATGAAAAATGGCATTTGCTGCAATTTCCCACAGAATCACCTGAAAAACATAAAAACTTACTGAAAATAAAATGCTGGCTTCGCAGTGGGAGCTCAGTCCTTGCCTCCTGCATAGTCAGGCAAGAACTGAGTTTCCATGTACTGTGCTCCAGGAGAAAGTAGCCTGAACAATGTCTGACAGTAAAGCGGGGCAGAGGAGGGGAGGGGAAAAGGCAGAGAATGGGGAGCAGGTAGGGAAGAGGCAGAGACTAGGGGAAGCAAGGGGAGGGGGTAGAGGCAGAGATTGGGGGCAGAGTGGGGAAGAGGCAGAGACTGGGGAGAGCTGTTGGGTGGGTAAAGGTGGCAGCCAGGACAGGAAGACTTCAGATGCAAGAAGTGAGTGGAGCATAGGGCAAGGGGGCCACCTGACCTCCTCCCAGCCACTGCTTTCCCTTATGTAGCTGTGGGGGAGGAGTGGGGGGTGGGATTCAAGACAACCCTCCAATACTTAGTTCTATACCTGGAAAATCATAACAAATTTATATAGTTTCCATAAAGAATCTAATTATTGGGGGTCATCTTATATTCAGGTAAATACGGTGTTTTGGATTCCCAATTAAGGCACTGGTGTCCAAGCAGTTTTCACCCTCTATAAGTTTTAGTCTGGGGTGGGAAAAGTGTAAATGCTTTGTCAAGGTTAGTCCTGAATCTTCCAATAATCTTCCTAAGTTTCTGTTTCAGATTCCAACTGTACCCTGGTCTCTCATCAGGGACTCAGTGCCCAAATATGCCCAAAGTTTGGCTCTTCAGCATCACTTCACACTCTTTTATTGTTTTACCTTCCTTCTTTAACCTCTAATTAAGAACAAATCTTTCTTGTAATTCTATTCTTAGGAAGAATGTAGTACTCTTCACATTTCTGTACTAAAGCTTGGTAGTTAGCCTCCATTGCTGTGCCTGACTGAAAATACTAACCACATCAGTTGTTCAAAAATAAAGCCATTCTCAGAAATAAAGCTACCTTTTCAATGCCTGCCTTTTTGCTGGTAGGCACTGCTTGGAAATAGAAAGTAAAGTTATTTTCAACATCTTCCATTCATCTTGGGAAGAACTTTAGCTTTTATCTGCTCCATTTTTCCACATGGAATATTTTCTAAACTTTTTTACTTCTGGTACTATATGGTGTTGAATGATCATTAATTAGTCAAGCTACTTGCAACAGATCAGCTTTATTAAGTACTTAGTTTTTAACTGGCTGTGCAAAACCACAGCTAGAGCTGTATAACATCTCATCTAAACTCTCTATCCAAGAAACTGAGCTCTTAAAGGCAAAGTTCTCAATACCACTGCTACATCTAAGACAGGGGTGGGCAGAATGGTGGATCCGGCCAGTGCCGGACTCCATTTCCTAGCAGCCCCTGACCATGTGTTTGGGGTCAGTTTCCATGGAGAATCCAGCAGCTTCATTGTGATAGCACAGGGCCGGGGTTTTTGTGGAGTCCGGCCCCAGCAGCACTGGCAAGGGGTGCGGCAGGGCAGGGAGCTGCTCTGGGGCCAGGCTGGGATCTTGCAGTGCTGACAACATGGTTGGGAGCTGGGGCAGATCTATGATCTGCAGCCTGGATGCTCTGGGCAGGGGCTTGCAGGCAGCAGATCATGGCTCTGCCCCAGCTTCGGACCACATTATCACCACTACAAGATCCCAGCTCAGCTCCAGAGCAGCTCCCCACCTTACTGCGTGCCCTGCCAGTGCTGCTGGGGCCAGTCTCCATGGAAACCCAGCCCTGCACTATTGTAGCATGGCTGTTGTTGGGGTCTCCATGGAAACCAGCCCCAGCCATGCGGGCAGGGGCTGCTGGGAAATGGAGTCCACTGCTGGCTGGATCTGGCCCAGGGGCTGGACTTTGCCTGCCCCGATCCAAGATGAACCTGCTGTCTTCAAAGCCGTAATAGAAGTTTAATCCTAAAGAGGATCATGGTCTTAGCTGTGATGCTCTCTGCTCACCACCAATTTTCTTTTCATCCAAAAAATACTCTCCTACTATTAACTGTGGATGCTTCTGACAGGCAAAACAGTGAGGAAAAGTTTGTAAGGGTCTGTCATGTGCCCTAGGTCTGAAACAGATGCTAGTATGGCACTTCTTCCTTCCTGAGCTTGTGAGATGGGCCTGTGTGCTTAAAACAACCTTAAAACTGAGTACTTGTCACTGTAATAATTACAGTATTGATCCTCCTATTCTAAGCAGAGGAAGGTGCTATTGTTACTGCTTGAGTCTTTATGGCACCCATAAATAGTATAAACTGTCCAGGAGAAAAAATGCTAATTGAATATACTTGGATTGCAAAATATAAAAGTATAGGTCATCCAACATCTTGATAGATGAAAGGAAACATATCACAGTCAGCCAGTGGTGCTTGGCAGTGGTGTGGGAGAAGAGCCCAATGCACAAGCAGCAAATCTTCCCACAGTGGCTACAAGTCCACTTGCCAGATAGAGGCTGAAGCATACTCTGCTTCCTGGCTTGCCTGGGAACCTCAGCCTGGGCTCTCTGATAGCTCCACATGGTGACTGCACCAGCCTTGACCCACCTTCCAGACTGAGCATTTGTAGGCGGGGTTCTCCCAGCTGTCACTGAGAATACTGAATTTCTTGAGACCTTGCTTGACCTTGTCACTGTATTAGAGCTTTGGCCTTCCTCTGTGTTAGGGGTGGTTCTTGAGTTGGCCATAGAGTATAGCCTTCAGCAAATGATCTTCAGGCATGTGCTCCACATGTCTCAGCCAGCAGACCATGCGAGCATCCAGCATAGTCTGTATAGACTGTAGGCCAGTTATCTCAAGGATCTCGTTGTTCCCAAATGACTCCAAGGATTTATCTGAGACAGCAAAAGTGGAAGCTGTTCAATCTCCACTCCTGCTTGGAGAACATGACCCAGCTTGCACAGCCATAAAGGAGGGTACTGAGGGCACAAGCTTGATAAACAGACACCTTTGTGTTCAGGGTTAAAAGCTCGTTGTTCTATACACGAGGTAATTTTGCCAAAGGTGACAGAGGTTTTGCCGATTCTCCTATTAGCTTCTCTATCAAGGCTAAGTGAGCTGGTAAGAGTTGAGCTGAGACAGCAGAAGTAATCTATTTTGTCCAGAGCTTCATTATTGACGTAGATTTTGGGTGGGGTGTTGGTGCCCTGTGACATGACAACAGTTTTCTTGATACTGATTACCATGCCAAACTTGGTTCATACATCAGAGAACTTGATGCAAGATCAATGATTACATTTATATATGTATGTGTAGATGCATGCACAGGTATATTTATTTACAGTTTATACATAAGTACATTACTTATTAGCAGTCTGGTACGAAAAATACTGGAGATCCATTAAAATATGAGCTAAGCGGAATCAATTATTATTATAAAATGAATGAGAAAGTGTAGATCTTTAAAAATGGTGTGCTTATGCAGGGATTAATTAAAAGACAAGACTAACCTTTTACCCTGTCGCCTTTGTGCAGGTGAATCTCCCCTTCTCCTTGAGGTTGATATGGCTTTACAACGATAAAAAGTCTTCCAGGTACAGCACTGTAAAGTTTGCGTTTTGGACCCTGATAATCCAAGGCAGAGATGGTATCCTTGTTGGTACTTGGATTGTACCCAGCACTGGGGAATAAATGAAACAAGATTAGTTTACCATTTAAAGTGGATTGTTTTCTATGTCATGCCATGACTGACCACATTAAGCAGTCACTCATAAGGCAATAATTTTGCTATGAAGTGACCAACATGGCAGATACAATACTAGCCTCTTAACCCAAACATACTTCCTTAATCGTTAAATAATTTCTGAAGTAAAAGAGATCAACTAATCATGATGGCTTTGTTATAACAAATGTAATAACTAAGTCCATCTGCAGACCTTCAGCTAATTGATTTTTTCACATTTATTTGCAGAACAAAACAAACACACCATAATTTTGCAAAAGAAATAAGAAGAACATTTGGAGCCAACAAAATCTAAAATTATTGCTTTGAAAAGATGTCTTTACAACAACACTACAGTAATATTTGTAACATTTGGTTAAGCTACATCACCATTCAGAGGCCTGAACCAAACCTCAAATCCAAATGAATGCAATGATATAATATGGCTCTCTTGTGGTTGTGGCTTTCTCCTAAAATAATACTGTTTCTTACTGATGCTAATTGATAGTTTTCATAACTAACATTCTGTTTCAGATAGGTGACAAATCCAGGTATAGGTCATTGGAAAACAGGTGACAACAGCATGATTAAAATAACTAAGAAATCATTGTGTATCTTCTTTCATGAATAGGGAAGAAATCATTGATAAGAAGTAGATAACAGAAAAGTTCCATGCTATATCACAACAAACAGTTATTTTCTTTCAGAAACACAAATATTAGGCAATTAAGTTCCTATATACTATGCAATGGGAATAAATGTGGGTGAAGGAATCGTAGAAAGAAATAATAGCAAAGGATCAATATGTTGCAGATCCACACTATTAAGGAACAAAAAGCCTTGCATACAAATAATGAAAATAGATGTGCAAGAGAAACAAATAGGAATGCACAGAAGCAGAAAGTGAAGAGCTCAGTTTTTATTTGAATTACTGTGACCCCCTCTATACGTGCAGGTAAATGTGCGATGGGATCTAATGTGCAATTTCACAGTCATGCCTCCTGCCATGACACACATGCATTAGATGCAATCACACCTTATTGGTGGTCCAGGGGGAGCCCAATCCCAGGCTCCCCCTGCACCAACAAGAAGCAAGCTCCTGTGGTTGGGAGCCCCACACACCCCAGTTAATGGGCTCTTAGACAGAGGGGCACCCCATGCACTCTCAGGGCTGGAGAACTGCTGCAGGGGCGATACCCCCACCCTGGAGATGTGAGGAAATCCTCACGGCTGGAGGATTACCACAGGGTGATCCCTTTGCCCCATGGGTGTGGGAAACCCCTGGACCAGAGGATCACCACAGTCCTCTTGCCCTGTGGGGGGTTTCCGTACCCCACGGATTGTGGCAGCCATGATCCCCAGGGTCTAGAGGGTTTCATGCATGCCTGAGTCCTGGGGATTGCAAAGACCAAGATCCCCACAGCTCAAGGGTTTTATGCTGGGCATGGTGCACCCCTGCAATGGGGAGCCCTGTCAGCTGATGAGACTCCCAGCCTCAGAGACCTTGCTACACATGCAATTTAAAGCTCAGTATCAGCCAACTATAAAGTTTGTACACATTTTCAAGGTCTAACTTCATAGCTGATTGGAACTTTTTATTGTGTGATAGCTACTTTTACACTTGTAGCTAGTCTCCAGGTAATTGTGCAACTAACTAGTTAATTGCACAGCACCTGTAACATATAGAGGGGGCCTGAGTAAAATATCGCTTAAAAAAAACAACCCATTATTATGGTAAAGGAAAACAAGTGGATATTTTTACTATTATTTAGTATGCATAATACATCATTCATAATGATTAGTAATCCACAATAAATAATAGTAAATAATACTCACAGGCTACTGACAGATGTAAAAAAAACCCAAAGTCGCACTTTACCAGAAGAAACAGAGTATTACTTAGACCTGGCTCCACAGCATCTATATAGATCAGGCACTTCAGTGGAGCTTTTTGGCGATTTTATCTAAAGCTGATTCAGTCAGTTATTAGATAGAAGTGTAAAAAAACCTCCACTAAAGCGCCCAATCTATACAGACATTGGGCGAGCCAGGTCCAAATACCATACTGCCTTTTCTGGGCATGGTCTGGGCTTGACGTGCTCTGGGCGTGCTGAGTTTAAAGTGCTGGTTGGGTTTATCATGTCTGCAAGCAGCCATTATCTCAAAAGCCTGAGCTAACCAATAGAATTAAAGAAAACCATACAACCTTTTCCAAATATAGCTTAGGTCTAAAGAAGATAAAGTTAAGCTAGACCTATTAAAGGAATGAAGGGGCTGGACTAGATGACCTCTGGAGGTCCTTCCAGCCCCACTCCTCTCTGACTCTGTAACTCTAAACAGTGTTCAAAGATTATTCTAAAAATCATAAGTTCTGCAAAGGTTGAGGTTTTTAGCTATCTTTAACCATAAATAAAAGGGATCCAGCCAACTAAATATAGTAAAAAAAAACCCACAAAAAACCCCAACTTTTCATAATAAGTAAAGAAGGGAACACTTGGACAAAAAATAACATAGTAAAGCTTTCTTATAAGCAATGCTTCCTCCTGTCTCTGCTCCCCCTAAATCAATTTCCCTGCAGTCACTTGTATATCATTAGGAACAGCTGCTGCTTTCATATTAGAGTTGATAATTTTCCAGAGTTGTTTTCTTTGTTTTTCTTTTATTGCCAAGGACAGGTGCCAATAAAGACAAATTCCACTTAGTGTTTAAAAGTGGCTATTCAGACTGCAGTTTTGTTGATGAATCTGAATAAGAAAACCCACTTGGCTTTAGCAGCTGTTTAAAGGAAGAGAGAGGCAATGGTAACTCTAGGGTATCATTAGTCATCTCTTTCTCCTCATATCCTTTAATGCCTATACTTATGAGTGTGTTAGGAATAAATAGCTCTAAAACAGTCCCTTCTAATCCACTAACTAAACAGGTTCGTTACAATATTCTGACTAGATATACCACGTTGGGTAAGTTACAGCTGAAGCACACTTTGCTAAGTAGTCAGGCTTTCCTATAGACCAGTTGTTCTAAAGGGGTAGCCGCAGCATACCACTGCACCGCTAGAGCGATGGAAATATGCCATGAGATCTCCCTACCCAAGGAAGTAAATCCTCTCCTTCCCTGTCCGACATGTTGTGCCTGCCCCAGCTACTCCAGCAGCTGCTCCTCTGAGAACTGTCACGATTGCTGCTGCCTTCCCCAACCTTTCTTGCCCCAGCCAACCCCTGTGCCTTCCCCCTTCCCCACCCCATGCTCCTAGCTGCATGCTCTGCTGCAATCAGGCAGGAGGATGCACATGTGACCTTGTTGCGACTGTACTTGTGTGACACCTTCTCTGTGGTGCTTATTTGCATGCCACCATGATTGGTATGCATGGGCAAAGGAGAGAGAGACACTTTTGTGCTTGTTTTGACTGTAGTAACGTGTTGTAACTGTTTTTAACATTTTGAATATAAAAGCAGGGAAGTCAGGTTTGTGTGCATTGGCCCTGCCTTCTAAGATTGTAAAGTTCATAAGAGGACCAATGTTGTACGAACACACTGAGTAAATGTAGCTGAGGGCTCAGTGCTTGCCATGACTTTTGTGGAAGCCGAAGGTGAAGGGACCCCGCAGACCAAAGAATCATAAATGAGGGAGAAGAAGCTCTAGGTTGGACATCTCCTAGGAGGATGGTATTGGGAGTGGAGGATGTTTGCTAGTTATAGGGCCACTTACAGTTCTGGACTGACTCACAGATTTGGATTTGATTCAGCTGATTTGGCTTGGAACATGAACAATTTCTTTTTAAAAAAAGGGATGGTATTGTGTCTCATTCTCCAACCATAAAGGGATAAGTGCTGGTGATGTAGAAATCCTTTTAGTGGTTTCAGCCTGAGCCTGTTACCCCCTTGGTGCTGAATAGCTGAAATCCTTAGAAGAATCTGCCTTCTCAGGACCTGCCAGATCCTAAGAGAGCTGCAATTGCATCTAAAAGAGCTGGGTTGCTTCTGCAATCACAGAAAAGGAGCAACCCTGGTAGCAGTAAGGAGCAGCTGGTGAGGAGCAGCAAAGAACAGCACCCCTCAGCAGTGGTGAGGTGTAGCAACAGCAATGGTGGAGCATTGTCCCAGCAGGGGTGAAGCAAGGGACACTTTGGGCCAAGAGCTTTTAAAAAAAATGGTTAAATTTAATTTTCCATATTTCAAACCAAATTAGCCAAATCAATTGCAAATCTATAAGTCAGTCCAGAACCATAAGTGGCCCTACTACTGGCAAACATCCTCCAGCCCCATCTGGGGCTTCAGATGTTCCCAAATCCTTTGGTAGGCACCCTACTTGCAAGCCCAAGCCCGGATGATTGGGGTTTGGATGCCCCTAAGTTTTGCTTGCCCTCAGCCATAAGGCCCCAGGAGCAAACTAGGGAGGAGTCTCCCATTTCCATAAAGCAGGCATAAAGCCAAGGTTAACTATGCATTACCTATGCAGGTACTATCTCGTCTTCCCCAGGTGTGACTAGGAAGCCACCGTAGTGATAATGGTATTTCCCCTGCCAGACAAGCATAGGACTACACTTGATCTGACCCGATGAGCACTACTGACTACTCTGGTCACTCTGTGTGGGGTTAAGTGAGAACTTTGAACCTACTGATTGTGCTGAACTGTTAGGAGTAGGTTGAGGTGGACTACTGATTATTAAGGGGTTCTTATATGTTATCCCATTTCCCTTCCCCCCATTAATAAATCCTGATATAGTTTGATGCTGCTTGGGAGTGGAAAAGTTTGTTCACATTGGAACACCCAGGCAGAAATTATTTTCCCAGATTTCAGGGACTCTAGCCAAGATAATCAATTTGCATAAAACTCTTAAGGTGAACTTTGCCCTTGGTGCCTGACAGAAGGGTTACGCACAGAAGAGGGGCACTTTGTAGCCTGGCTCATCCCCGCCACTTCTCCCATCCTCCCAGGGCCAGCAGGAGAAGCCATGGGGT